CTACTAGCGATGTCCTCCACCCTAAGAGCAATGGCCTCTAACCTACTGGCGATTGCCTCCACCCTAAGAGCGGTGGCCTCCAACCTACTAGCGATGGCCTCCCCTGAGAGCAATGGCATCCAACCTACTAGCGATGGCCTCCACCCTGAGAGCAATGGCCTCCAACCTACTAGCGACGGCCTCCACCCTGAGAGCTTTGCGTTGGCCAATCTTCCTGGGACAGTTGAGATCCCTGTTGCAGTGCCGGTTATACATTTGACACTGCGAGTTCTCCCTACACCATGCATGGGCCTTGGACAGCACTTGAAGCCATTGGATCTGCGGTGGAGACTGCTGTTATGATCCGTTAGATTACACCGATTGCAATCTACTCAAATTTAAGTCCTCTTCCTCCTCTCAAAGCCCAACCATGGCAATTCCCCCGTCCAAACATAGCTTTCCACGAGCACCTCTCCCGCTGGGGTCCTGAGTACCCCAGGTCACATAGGCCATCTGTGGAGCATCCTCGCCCTTCGCGATGAGAGCCATGCCAACCTGCGGAATTCCGACAAAAATCAACAAACATACCAGCAGCCAAATTCAATGTCAGAGTGCCAGTAATTGACTTCATGGAGGCGGTTGTCCTGCGCCAACAGCACCGCATCCTCTAGAACAACCAGCTCTGGCTGCTCCTGGAGTGAACCGGGCTGCAGTTCTGCTGATCTAAATGGGTCAGGAGGGTTTTGAACAGTGCAAGTCGCTGAAACCTTACTAGCACCAAGCGCTGAAGAAACCACGTTGTCTCATGGATGAAAGGTCAACTACAAAGTAGGTGGTGATGCTAGAAGCGACTAGCAACTCCCACCATCGAACTCCCACCATCGAACTCCCAGCGACTCCAAGGTGACCCTTCCAAAATGTTAAGCCCGCAATCATCATGTGGTACATAGAATATAATTGAACTATTTCATGTTGAAAACAGGGTAACATAGAACAATGAACAATGCCATTCCCATGGGCAAAAGTCTCCAATGTTTCCGCAGAATGAACAAAGACTTGTCAGAAAATAGTTTGACACCCTGTCGAGAGAAATTCGGATTAGCCAGTCAGTTCATCCAACATGGATAACAGTGAGCTATCTCAGCTGATTCTGCCTCAAAGGGCCAAGGTGGCCATGACGGTCTTTTGTCTCATTCTAAACAGCGTAGCGGCTCGCAATACTTGGAGCTACTTGATGCACGGCAAAAAACAAAAACAAGTCTGAAGAAACTGGAATTGGGTTTCGTAGACGCTCCAACTCGTGCAGAAGTAGTCTCGGTGTCTCACGATTGAAATGCAAAGGCCAAGCTGCCCAAAATGGATTTTTTAGTGCCATTCGCTGGGACTTGCTCGGCGAAAATATACAGTATCATACAGTATCAACAATTCAACAAATACTATTCTGGAAAAATGGCATTGGTCAAGTTTTAAAGCCTAGCCCTTCAGTTTGACAAGGGGATCTAACATTGCCACATTAAAGTGGTGACCATCCCGAAACAGCCAAAGGTGACAAAACCAGCAGCAAGTTCATCCATCTGGGTGCGAAGGTAACGGGTGAAAAACATCTCGAAAATCCAAACGCCATAACTCACCAGGCAAATTGTAGCTGCAAGTCCCACAGAGACGCAAATGTCCAAGCACATCCTGGAATATGGAAGAATATCATAGATACAAGCCCTCTATATGTAGGTTTCATTAGGTTTCTATGTCCTAGTCCTAGAAAGTATTTGCGTTTAGCGGTCCTTCGTCAGATTCCCTCTCAAAGCGAAAAAATGTCTTTCTGAGGATGAAATAAGATCACACAGAGTAATCTTCATATCATTAATCAATATACATATATATATATACAAGTAGTTCCCGGGCAAGCCGGCGGCGGAAGTTTCCTAAAGAATAAACCTATAGAAAATGGGCATGTGGCAGGCTGATTCGCCGAGCTGCGGCGTTCTTTGATAAAACAAGTTGGAACCGACCAATGGAGCGAAAGCGAAGCAACCACCGTCAACTGTCTCGCAGGAAAAAACGTTGTTCATGCATTCTGCGAAATACAGGACTCAACCTGTTTCGTCCCCCGTGTCTGTCCGCCACATCACACTCGTGTTTCCTTTTTTCCTTTGAAGCCATGATCACTGCAAATTAGCTCAAATGTGTCAACCTCTCAAAGCACGTGCTTTGAGGTCTCCAGAATGTAATCGAAGTGACCACTTTTGAGTAAGCAAAGTAGCTAAAATTTGTCAACCTCTCAAGAGAGCCGGGTGGTCGGGAGACATGACTCAGCTGCAGGGGCGCCAGACCAGCCGCGAGAGATGACTCAGCCGCGAGAGATGACTCAGCCGCGTACTAAAGTTGTACTACCAAGTCGCCAGTTCTCAGCTTCCAGCTCCACAGATTGCTCCGCATACTAAAGTTGTACTACAAAGTCGCCAGTTCTCATCTTCCAGCTCCCCAGATACTCCGCGTACTGCTGCGCCTGCCACGAAATCTGCACATGGAGGTTCACAAAGTGCTGTGCCTGCCACGAAATCTGCACTTTGAGGTTCACAAAGTGCTGCGCCTGCCACGAAATATGCAAGTTGCACATGTGTGAAACGAAGCAATGCTGCGAGAGGTCCTTCCAAAATGCAACTTGCAAAGGTATGAACCGAATCATTCCCGCGACACTTCCATGCAACTTGCAGACAATGCTAGAACAATGAACTGGAGCTACAGATCAGTGGTAGAACCATGAACTAGAGCTACAGATCAATGGTAGAACAATTAACTAGAGCTAGAGATCAATGGTGGAACAATGAACTAGAGCTAGATCAGTGGTAGAACAATGAACTAGAATTGCAGCTAATGTAAATGTTCGTAACACGGAAGTTCCTCTAAACTATACTGTTATACTGTATTATTATGTAATATACTATATAATATATTATATTGATTTGTTGATGTACACGCAAAATCCTGGAGCATCGTCTTCGCACCAAATAGCTCAGTTGGAGCGCAATCTTCATGCCACCCGGCGCCATTGCCAGCCAGTATGTCAACGAAATGATGAACCAACTGAACATGCCTGGTCGGAGTCTGCAAAATGATTGGTTTCAACCCACATGAAAAAATGTAGTCCTTGGGATTGCATGGGATTACTATGTATGGGTTAATCACTCGAGGGAAAGGCCAAGGCAAAATAAAGTCCAAACCACCACCCAGATTCTGTGATTCAGTGTATGTAATCCGGCCATATCAACAAACCACCACAGGACAGGAGTTGTAAACTGCAAGACCCGCCGATATGAAACTGCTTCATTCGCAAGCTGTTTGGTGAGGAGCAAGCGGACGTCCGATCGCACATAATCCTCAAACCTCCTGGTCGATCCAAACCAGAAAGATATGCATTGAAGAATAACATCGCGATCGCACAAACCTGATGGATGGTCTGTTTCGCAGCAGCTGCTGTATGCTGAATCAAGCGTAAACCAACAGAGCTGTTGCTGCAGTGTCTCGACAGCACGGCAATATGCCCGCAGCACGTGAAAGATGAGGCCGAAACAAATGGCAAACAAGACTTCGAAAACAAAGAATGAAACAAAAGTTGCTCTCCAGTCCCATGCGTCTCCACGCCAGTATAGCAGCACGACGATGTAAACGCTAAAGGACAAATGGCCGCCCAAGAGCATAGCAAAATGGAGGGCACACCAATATCTTGGCTGCGTGGCCCTGGGTGTGTAGAAAGGCACTCAGCTCGAACACGCATCATAGTCTCGGAGTATAGGTTGGATCCCACTGCACCAACATGCGTTTGGAGCTCTTCAAGATCGCACCTACGCTAATGAGGCCTGCTGCTTTGCGTTTCTGATCAGATTTGATACAGGCAATATCTAGAAAAGCCCGCCGCCTTTGTCGGAACAAGAGGAGGGTCAGGTAGTGCCCCGCGCTTCCGAAGAGCGTGCACCACCTGCATGATGCCCACCCATCCCAATCCCATGGTGGAAGGACGCCAACGCGATGAAGAACCAAACCCAAGATGCCTGAAGCTATCCCTACTGCTGAGGCGGCAAGGCTAATCTGCAGGCACAGGACATTGAAATACTTCGTCCATGCTGGTGCCCTCCAGGTGAGGGACCAAAACTCATCCAGCTGGGTGGCTGCTTGGCTGAATCCATGCAGGGAGATAGTATCTCCCTGCAACAAGTACAATGGGAAAACTTGCAAGAAGTGAAAAACCCAAATGCGTCACACATTCCGCGCTTTCATGGAGGCCAAGAAAACAGTCATTCTGTCAACGAGTAAGGCGAGCGGGTCGTCAACCAAATCTGTCATTCTTGATTTACCCAGAACAACTGCCTCACTGAAATCTTCAGTGATCTCTCCACGTGCTTTTGCCACGTCTTGCGAGCTTTCAGCCAGGCTGGGCGGCAGATTTGTCATGCTCGATCTCTTCACAGGAATATCTTCCATCGAGTCATCTCCATGCTCACTCGCCATGCAGCACGAGGTTTCTTCTCCCAGGTAGATAATTACGTACAAAAAAGGTCCTTTTGACTTGAATGAGGATCTCCATTAGGTTGGAGGCTATCGCTTTTAGGTTGGAGGCCATCGCTACTAGGGTGGAGGCCATCCTTTTAGAGTGGAGGCCATCGCTACTAGGTTTGATGTCTGAATGAGGATCTCCATGGGTCTCCCTGTCTCAGACTATTGTTGCTACAGGGTCGGTCACGGTGGCACCATGACAAATGAAATGGTTTGCAGTGGTTGCACTCCATCACATAACAACCCCATGCGCCTCCAGGTAGCTATGTTTATTTTCCGCCAGCTCAAATGCAACAGCCTGGTATTGAGTATATAGTATATAGTGAAGTTTTGCACCAGACTGGAAGTGAGCTAGAAAACATGAGAAAACCACTGGCTTGTCTTTGGAACCTGAAAAGGTTGCAAGGAACTCACCAGCATCTATGGTCATCAAAGATGAAGTCAACAGGATATCCCAACGGCTTGCAAAAGCACAAACCAATGCAAGGAAGTTCTTCATAGATCCCCAAACCCCATAGTCATGAGGGTCCGATCTGGACTTGTTCAAAACATATCAGCCAATGGTCGGCACAGCGGTCGTCCCACCTCTAAGGCAGCCAAGTGGATGACAGCCTTCAGCCCCTTGATCTCTACTTCATTCGCCTTCTCCACAAAGCTGGCCTTTGCATGGGCAGGTGCGTCGGGGCCAGAAGTGGCATTCCCTTCGCCCACTCTATCGTCAAAGAATTGGTCAAACGAATCAGGTTGCCCGAGATCGGAAAGGGTTTGGGATGCTTCGGTCACCAATGTTGGGCCGTACAAGCAAGGCAATGACCTTACCAGTCTTCAGCAAAACCCAGCAGCTCCCAAAGTTTAAAGACACTTTGTCGGTACTTACCCATCCATGAAAGCCTGGCCCCACAAAACCATGGGATCTACTTCCTTTGGTGAGGTCCACGAGGGTCGCACGGTTTTGAACCATAGCCACAGCCAGATATGCAAACCAAAGCCGCTGGTTCGGGCGTCTCCCTGTTCGACAAATTCAATTGGTTCTCAATTGTTTTTAATGCACGAGGACCACAAACTGTAAAACAATTAAACAGAAACTGTTCACTGTTGTCAATTGCTCATGAGGGGATACAGTAAGGTGTACCCGCAAATAAGATAAACCACCAATGTATGTAATGCTTGTGTTAGTCTATTCTCCGGCAGGGTGTTGGCGCATACGGTACATTCCCAACAACCAATGTCTCAGGCACATTCAAAATAGAGGAACTATACAGTATATTTCAATTCAATATCCACTTGAATAGTATTTAAATGAATTTAATTGTAGTGAAGTG